TGTTGGGATTTGTATGCAAGAACTGACTCTATTCTACTGCATGGGTTTTGTGCAGTATTGTGAAGGCGTGTCTCCAAGTCTGTAACCGTCAGGTGAAGACAGCTTGGGCGCCTGTGTTTTGGATCTAATGATCACTCTGTGTTGTATCTACCCAAACTGCGCCACCACTGCCAACTACACAACAAACAGCAACTACAATTCTGTTGTCATTCAGGAGTCCATGCAGTTCAGGTCGTGTGTGTCTGGGCCGGACTGTGTGCGTCGGGGACTATGTGAGCTTGCGTGAATGTCGGCAGTGAAACGAAAAAATGGTTACATGCGGCGTGAATATTTCTTCCTGCCCATGTGGTTAAACTATATCTCTACAACGGGTATGTAGTTTTCCGTGTACCATTTTTCCTAGTGTAATAAATCCCTTTTTTTTACAGCGAATCCATCTTGCTCGTGTGTGACTTGCTACACGGGTAATTACATAGGTAGACCCCCTGAGGAGGTGAGCCCCTTTTTCCCTCATTCGTTGCAGGTTCTAGGGATACACATCCTCAAACTTACAACACAACGGATTGAACCAACACGGACGCCTACTTCTTCAGGAAACCCCAACAAGTTGTATCATAGTTTGTTTCATGGATTAATGTTAAGAATACGCATTATTAACGTTTAATGCATGACGAGCGATAAAAGCATTCTCCAACCTCTTCAAATGCTCACGGCATGGTCACCTTGTGCTGCAGCTCCAACTCACACGAACGAGCGGAGTGAATGAGATACATTTTGGTCACGCGCCGCTGCTGCTCTACTATGGCAAGGCTCCCGACAAGTATCGAATCCGAACCACAGGCCATCGCAGAGGTGTCACTAAACATCCGTTATACATACGAATTTGGAATTGACCAATCATCGCACGCTGCTCATTCTGATACGGAGGCTTGTTGTGCCGTTCGTTGCACAATCTTGTCACCCGTCTCACCGAACCAACACAAAATATCCAACAACATTTTCTTGGATACCTCCATCATCTGTTGAGCGGAGGACGCAAGCAATAATGCTTGGAAGCCTATCCCGTCATGGGTTCGACCTTTCCTTATCGTTGCTTTGATGTGGTACATACTGTAATACAAAGAAAGAGACGCCATTATCCTGACGAAGTGGTTCCGCGAAAATGGCGCCCTGCGTGAGCCCCCATGACATTATCTGGTGCACACCTTTGTTAACCGCTGGTACTCCCCGCACAGATGGGCACGTGCAATGAACTCAGCAAGGCACCTCAAGCACGTCATGTTCTACACACGAGACCGTTGGTTTGCCCTGGGTTTGCTCTAAACCTGGCAAATACCGTGCGATGAACAGTGCAAGACGTTCAGCTGAACAGCTGTTAGTATCAATATTCACTCGGTATTCACCTGCGAAAGGAGTCGGCAACTCGCTCGAGACTTCGTCAGAGTGGATTCCATAGACATTGAAGGATTGGCGCAATTGTGGATCACCACTACCAGGGTTGTCCCAGTGAAGTACTTGATGGGACCACGCTGCAGAGAGATGTGCCTAATGTTGCGATTGAGGGTTGGCCACATTTTGGATCGCCACTACAACCGGAGTTCCTGACGACTTACGGGCCTGTGGGGGTTCCGCGTGACCGGTGCTTCGTCGTAATGAAAATAGACTTCCGCTTTATGGCGGGACTTGCGATGAAGGCTTGCAACACGGATGGGTGCGAGAGTTGCTGTGTACCAGTCCCCCAGCATCAGTTCCTTCCATTCTCAGTATCATATAGCCTGATACATAAGTGAGTCGCCTTGATACTGCTGTGGCTCGATACGCAGTTAAAGGCGCCAAGCCCACCCCAATTCTACAATACCCAAACTCCGGGAGACTCATGGATGGTGCACGGGTCTTTTCGCGCGGACGTACTTGATCCTGGAATCATGTGTCCCACAAGACGCACCCAAAAGTGTCCGCTGCCGGGGCACCAGGGTGTGATCAGATGCGTATTCGTTTCATACGGCGTACATGAAAACTCAGAAAGACAACCCGTTCGAGATGTATTTCCGTAGTTTAATGATTAAATTGTTGACATCTGTAGTGCGGCAAGCCCATCCATGGCGCAAAAAACACATTGTTCCAACGGGTAGTCTCTCTGATTGGATGCATGCATTCGAATACAATTCAAAAATGTGAGATTGAGTCGAAAAAGGCTGTTATGGACTTCAGCGATGAATGAATGCGCTCGACATCTGGACAAAAGATCTGTAGGCGCCAACAATGATCAACCTCCCCGCCTTTGCATATGGCGTCTGTCCACGAACGATCTGGTACATCTGGTATACATCACTGGGCCATCGTTGTTAACATGTACTCTTCCATCGACGTCCATTCATTGGGGTAACGTCTGGTCTCTCGTCGTAGAGAGAGCAACTGCTTTCATCCTCTAGCGCCCTCCTTGTACCCACTAGCGTTGCTGCTTTCATCTACCAGCGCCCAACCGTACATCAGCAACAAGCAAATCTCCTTCCTGTCCGATCTCGCAAGCGTTTTCATTGTTTGGTGGCAGCGTGCGACCTTGTCCGAGGCCTATCGCTTGCTGAGCATTTAGCCAATCATCCCAAAACCGCAAAAAAGGTCGTTCTCTCCATCACACCCCGTCTTCAAAAACACGGTAGTACATTAGTCCGGGCCACAACCCCACTGTCCAGCTGACGCCAGACATGCAGCCGTGTGGTGTTGCCGATTCCCTTCGGGTGATGCTAGACCCAGACGCCCTTTCCACGAACGAACTTTCCACAGCGTTACGTCAGCTCAATCACCAGACGACCCCGCCCCGATCGTTGTGATGATGCCATAATCATCTTTTCTTTGTGTCAGCCAAAGACACGGCGCCGAATTCTTCGACCAACCTCTTCCGCCAGCACGTAGGATGAGCGCGTGCATCACGCCTCGCTGCTGAAACGACAACAATGCTACAATCTTACCCATGCCCCGCTATGCAGGGATGCGACGCCAAACGTCCAAACACGACATGATCCATCGTGACGACAACTCCGCCCTTCTACACCACCCCATGTCGTTTTGAAGTACCCAACGACTGCGTACTGCCTCGTCTGAGCCCCAGCGGGCACACACGCGACAGCAGAAGGGGTGGAGGGAAGGCTGGCACCTCTACGATAGAAAACGGGAAAACGGTTACCGTTAAAAGTCGCGATCGCTTGTTGAAGCCACCCTCACCCTCGTGCCGGCGTTCCAAAATGCTTGAAAGTGAGCCAGTGAACCTCATGACAAGACGAGCAAGCACCCAGTCCCATCCGAACATAGAATTCCCCCGAGTTGCCTATCACTGCCTAAGCGTGGCTTGAGCTGCATTTCCGAGGACGCAGCGGAGTGGATCGAGAAAATTGTTGTCCGAAATAAATGAAAAGCCGCTGAACGACAGTCGTTCAAAACCGCCACGTGTGACAACGCGAAAAAGAAAATGGTTGGAATCAGACACATGAAGACATAACAGAGAAAAACCCGACCAGAAGTACCAACAGACAAGACCTATCAACAACAGGTACCTTTCCCCCCCTGTCAGATCGGGGCAATTCCGACTTGATCCGTCCCGGCTTAGAGGTGAATCACCTTCACTTCCACGCCCCCCTCTCGTAAAAAAAAAAAAAAACTACGTCCAAATCGGCCCGCAAGCTCGAATGCATGCCTCGATCACTAACCATCTACTCCTACAACGTATTCAAAAATACTGCGGGCTCTAATCTAAGCAGCTGCTCTCTTAGCCCACTCTCCTCAATGGTGAGAGCGACGAAAAACGGAGCATTGCGACATGTCAACGACAATCGAGTATCTACAACACCTCCAACAACGGTCATAGAAAACGCCTCGCGCACAGTGTTAAAAACCAGCGGCGACCACTTCCAACTTGGCAATCCAAGGATCTGTACGCAAGACACACACGCACGCATTGTCCACACTACCGTCATTCCTTCCGACTTTCAGGTGTATGCCGTCCCCGGGCTCCACCTGACTATGCGTGCCGCCGAGTTTGGTAGATCACATAGATCTTCCCGTCCACCGTCAAGTCAAGTCACGAGCATTGTAGATCACGTAGATCGCCCGGTCCATCGTCAAGTCAGGAGCTTCGTAGATCACGTAGACCGTCCCGTCCATCGTCAAGGCGGGCGTTGGAAATATCACCCGGTCCATCGTCAAGTCAGGCGAAGGTAAGGAAACTCGCGAGCGAGTCGGCTTCGCTCTGCCTCCGGAAGCGGCGAGCCTGCTCTTCGATATCTCGCCGCATCAGCTCGAACATTTGGCGGGCGTAGCGGGATTTTTCGTGTACCGTCACCTGCTTGCATTGTCATCATCGCCATTGCCGGTGTCGCAACCCGGAAAAAAAATACGGAAACGGACGATCTGATACCGACGACAAAAATAATGGACCAGGAAACGACGCACCTGCTATGGGTTCTGTATTCGATTCGAAGCAAACATCAACGGCGAAGCAGACTACCGAGAAACTATTCAAGGGCCCCTAAGGTCGGTAGAAGAGCGAGCGGCGCTGAGGCAAGACTTAACCAGGTAATCGTAGTGCATGTGTACACGTTCCAGGTATTACCATTTCTTTCTGCGCTCGAAACCGGCAAGTGCGACAAGACGAAAAAGGTGAGCTCAAAGAAACGCTCGCGTAGCACGGGCGCCTCAATACCAACGCTCGAAACGATTTCACAGCGACAACACAAAGCAGATGCCGAGCACGCAGGGCAAGACACAAGACAAGAACGCACGAAGCCACATCCAACCCCCCCCAAAAAAGTCATGAGGGTAGCGAGTGAGAAGTGGATGAAAGCCAGCTTCCTGTCGGTGGGGATGCTTCGTCGCAGGATGTGTCTCCCGCAAAAATCCTATCCCATAAGGCTCGCCGAATACCTCACGGTGCTTTGCGCTTGGTGGTGTGAAAGCCTGGTCCGGTGAGAACCCGACGTGCTCCGTCCCAGCCTTGTAGGAATTCAAGGACCACTGGCCTAACGCCCACGGCATGCACGACTACAAATCACGAACACACCACCCCCAACAAACCCCATTCGCACCTCCTCGATCTTTCCTTCCGAGAACTCGGCCACCTGGCGACCCAACTCTTGCACTACGGCGTCGTTTCCCGGGGCAGTAAACATGAGCATGACGCCCAGCTTCTTCTGGAGGTCGAAGAGAGTGAACTCGACCCCCTGCCTCACCCTGCACAAGAAGCAGCACACCAAGCAGTCGTGCGACGTAGGGATGATATCTAACTAACTAAAGTCGTTCTCCAACGATATGACAGAACAACATCTATGAATATAAACGGGTAAATAACGGGAAAGAGAGAGAAACGCACAAAAAAAAAAAGATAATCTGTGCTGGAGGTATTCCCCCCTCTTTGCCACTACGAAGCCACGTCCCATATCGAAGACAACCTTCTCGCGCCGAAGCTGCGGACCTGTCGCACCCCTCGCTTGCCGTGTCGTTAGGGGCGAGCGCCGCAGCAGATGAGCTATTTTCTGTGTGACCCTCAGGCGAGCCAGCTCTCCAGTCCGAGGAGGAAGGTCTACAACAAAAAGTACTTCGAGACTCCTTGTTACGGAGAAACACAACAATGCGCACACGTGCAAGGGTCGCAAAAAATACATCCGCACGAAAACTATTCCTTGTGTATGTGACAGGAAGATCAGGCCAGTGGACCTCACCTCTTGTCGCTCCTGTCAAACATGTCGTCCAGCAGCAGCACAGGGGGGGTCGGGGAGCCGCAGCCCCGAGCTAGCGCCATCGCCATCGCGAACCGGTAGACCTCCCCCCCGCTCAGGTCCCTACACGAAATAACGACATTATGAAACCCCCAAAGACGTTGACATATTGCCTGTTGTGGCTGTTGATGGAATGCATACGGCGGTCGCGATTGTTGGTTGCAGCTCGGACACAACCTCATCTGGCGGAATCTGTCACAGCTCATCGTCACAAGTCGTGCAGTAGCAACCGCGGCCGATGGGGGGCGGGCTGTAGGGGCTGTGTAGATGTAGTACCTACCGGGCGCTCGACGCACGTTGAGGCTCAAGCCAACGTTGCGACAAGCACAGTCAAGGTGCCGCTCTTGCTTCCCCGAGCATGGCTACAATACCACCTTGTTTCACAAGAATCAAACATCGATGAAAATATTGCCTTGTCGGCGACAACCAGCAAACTGACCCTCATGCATAAAATAAATATGTATAAATATATACTTGCCGGTCCTTTGTAAGGCTGACCCCGTGCAGCTCCAGCGCTCCGAGCAGAGTGTTCGTCGTCAGCTCTACCTGACGCCTGATCCATGTGGACAACAGAACGACGCGAAAATGAATTCCAACTGAATGGATTATCCTGCGCTCCCGTATTTGGACGAGACTTGGGTTTTCTAATTATTGAAGTGGACAGAAAAAAGAAAACCACCAGCATTCATATAGTAGTACCGCGAGCAGCAGCAGCGGCAGGAAGTATGTCATTAGTGAGATTCCTCGTGCTCGCGTGTACATTCCCGGGAGACAACAAAAGCGTTACGATATATGACGTCTGTGCCAACAGGTGATTTCCGCCCAGATCGGTGGTTTCGAATCTTGGGGTATTTCATCCATCGCCCGTCAACACGATCAGCTCGCGCAAGCTTTGAGCGGAAGGCCGGCTCTTGACCGCCCACAATTTCACGCTGCCAACACGCATCTACGACGTAGCCGTTGTCATCTCGCCGCCTTTGTCGAGGAGCCAACATGACGTCATTCCCACAAAACAGAGACAGCCTCAGCCCGTCACAAAGATGACGATGCGGGGCGGGCCTCACCCGTTGTTCTTGCCCGGGAGGTGGGACGCTACTTCCCCCCTCAGGAGCTGCCGGACCGTCTTTCCGGTGGTGCTGGTGATGGCTCGGCCGACATAGACGGGCTTGCGGAGACCGCTCACCTAGCAAGCAGCAAGCGGAGGAGGTTCACGCAGCAACCGGTGGAAGAAGCTGTAATGATTAGATGATGTGTACGTGTGGACGTGCATGCCCTCCGAGGCAACAAAAAGAGAGTGAATGCGAGGTACGTCAGATACCGCCGGGGGGGGGGGG